TGATTTCATTAATATTATTGTTTAGAAAGAGCTCAAAGTTTACATCTCAAAAAAAGTGAGAAAAATTTTTATTATTTTAAATTAAGAAAATATGATAAAAGTAAAAATCTGGGAGGCAGCTGAAGAATGTCAGAGTTGGGAAATTCTGGGATCCAGGAAGTTTGCTGGTAGATGGATCTGGATGTGAATCCTGCCTCTCACCTATGTCATGAATGTCACTGCTTTCTTTCTTCATTTTTTTTTTTTTTTTTTTTTTGAGACAGAGTCTGGCTCTGTTGCCAAGCTGGAGTGCGGTGGCATGATCTCAGCTCACTGCAACCTCCGTCTCCCAGGTTCAAACAATTCCCTTGCCTCAGCCTCCCGAGTAGCTGGGACTACAGGCGTGCGCCACCACGCCCAGCTAATTTCTTTATATTTTAGTAGAGACCGGGTTTCACCATGACCAGGATGGTCTCGAACTCCCGACCTCATGATTCACCCACCTCAGCCTCCCAAAGTGCTGGGATTACAGGCATAACCTTGGCCTCCCATAGTGCTGGGATTACAGGCGTGAGCCACGGTGCCCGGCCCATCATGGATGTCATTTCTTTTTTTTTCTTTTTGAGACGGAGTTTCACTCTTGTTACCCAGGCTGGAGTGCAATGGTGCGATCTCGGCTCACCGCAACCTCCGCCTCCTGGGTTCAGGCAATTCTCCTGCCTCAGCCTCCTGAGTACCTGGGATTACAGGCATGTGCCACCATGCCCAGCTAATTTTTTTGTATTTTTAGTAGAGACGGGGTTTCACCATGTTGACCAGGATGGTCTCGATCTCTTGACCTCGTGATCCACCCGCCTCGGCCTCCCAAAGTGCTGGGATTACAGGCGTGAGCCACTGCGCCCGGCCCATGGATGTCATTTCTATCAGAGGGCTCCTTTGGAAAATTTGGATAACAGCCCGTTATGAAAGTCACCAGAGTAGATGTATCTATCCGCCTGGCCATTTAGCTGGTAGCGCAGCCTAGACGCCCAATAAACAGTAGCCCTATTTCAGTGATCATTCATTCCTGGGTGTCTGACCTGTGCCCTGAGAGAATCAGCGGTTCCTCCCAGAGCCTCTGATCTTTTTCCTGGGATCCTTTTCCTCGTGCGGCTTTCCACCCCCACCACGTGTCTGATAGCCTTGAAGGTTTTACAGGACTGTCATCTCCCCAACTTCCAGTGGAGCCACCGCAATACATAGCTGCCCGCCTCTACCTTCCACCTCCCAGCTGGCTTCACCTGCTGGGGGCCTGGCTCCTCCTCCTCTGCCTAGTCCCCTCCAAGCTCATGCCCAGACCTTTTTTGGACACTACCCACCTGCTCCTCAGTCATCAAGCACTCAGCTATGGGCACTTCCCTCCCCGGTCCCCTCCCACTGGTGACATGTCAGGCCTCTTCATGGTTGCTCTGTGACTCTGAGTTCTGCTATTTGAATCCGTATGGGAATAAAGTTCCCTGGCTTTCATCCCTTTCAGGGAGGGGGCATTCCGAGAACTCAGAAGCTGGGGTTTGAGACCAAAAATTGGCCTTCCTTTTCAGTTCCGAACTATTTCTGGGTAATCGGACAGGGATCCCAGCCCCTTCCAGCTTTCAGACTGGAGTGAGAACAATTTAAGAGCTGGAAGCATTAGGAATGGGATTTAAGACCATTTCTAATTTCCAGAAACAGAACCTCCTTCTCTGGCTGTCTGGAAAAGGCCAACAACATTTGGGGGCAAGTGGGTAAAACAGGTCTCCCTCTGGCTGAGCCCTGGGAATGATCAGAATCTATTTGTCCCTTGGCAAAGCAAATCACTAGACGTCACCCATTACTCTCTTTGACCGCCTCCCCCTCCCCAGTGCTCTTTCTGACCATCCCAATTCAAAGCGAACAAACCTCACTAAACCCAGACACTTTTCATCTCAAGCCAGGAGCGGTGGAAGAAGCCCCAGGGACTGGGTGAATGACGAAGCCTCAGTTGGGAAACAACCATTTATTGAGAGGCCCTCCAAGGAGCCTAAAGCTCACTGCAAGGCAGGAAACGCGAGGGGGCTCTGGCACCGCCCCCCTGCCCCAACGCAGGAAAGACGACGCAATGAATCCCAACAAGACCAGCTCAAACTTGGCTTTGGAAGCACTTAAGCAGTTCTCTAGGTTCATAAACAGTCTGCTACCCCAGCCAGGAACAGACGCTTGCTTGGAGGACGGAGCACAAGCAGAGAAGCAGAGTGACAGGATGAGAGAGACAGAGGGACCCAGAAAGATCCTGTCCCCTATGCCAAGTGACACAGAAGAAAAAAACAATGCTGGAGGTGGGCCTGGGAAAAGCTCAGGGGGCAGGGTGGGTTTGGAAGTGGGGGCTGTGCTAAGGTGAAGAGGGGAAGGGCAGGAGAAAGATGGCGGGGGCTGGAGGGGGGAGGGGTGTGGTCACCAAGTGGCCAAGGTCCTTGCGCGGTGGAGGCAGAGAGACCCCATCGCATTCCCAAACTGGCAGAAACCTGGGTCGGGGTCAGGCAGAGGATCCCATGGGAGAAGTGAGTGAGGAAGTGGGGGGGATTAGAATCTGGAGAGAGGGGCTGGGAAAGGAGGGGTAGGCTGGTGACAGGGCCCCGTGTGGGGCCCCAGCGGTCAGATGTGCCACGGTTGGCAGTGACAGCTGGGGGGGAGCACGGTCTTTGCAGTGTGGGGCGGCCCTAGGGGAAGGGGACCCCTACAGGGGGTACTCTGCGGGCCCGCGGGCCCCAGCCTTGGACAGGCCGGGGCAAGGGGCGCTGAGGGGTAAGCACAGAGGAATGGGGGGGCCTCGTGGGGGGAGGGGCCAGGCGGTGATGGACAAGGCCCGGGCTGGCAGCGCAGGGCCGGGATCGGGGTCACGGCCCGGGCACTCACCGCTCTCCTGCTCGCTGCCCTTCTTGGCGGCGGCGGCGTTGCCCATCGCGGCGGCGGCGGCCGGGGCCGGTCCCGGAGCTGCGGCGCGGCGGGTGCTGGCGGCGGCCGGCGGCCCCGGAGCGCGCTGGGCGGCGGCGGCGGCGGCGGCCCTCGGGCTGGCTGCGCTAGCTGCGGCGCCGCGACCCCCGCCCAGCCCCTGCTTCCCGCGTCTCTCCGCGCCCGCCCGCCCGGGAACCTCAGCCCAAGTCCGCTGCTGCTGTCCGTGACGCCCCCGCAGCCCGCCGCTCATTGGCCTAGGACGCCCTGACTGACGGCTCCGCGCCGCCGTCCATTGGTCATCCCTCGGGAAGGCCGAGCCACTATAGGCTCTCAGCCTCGTGACGTACACCGGGGACTCTCGGCCATTCACACACTCGCGAGGCCGCAGCTGGGCGGGCAGACGCGTCCGATTGGCCAAGAAGCTGGAAAGGTCCCGGGGTCCGCCCCGCGAGGCCGCCGATTGGCGGAGGCGCGCTGTCCCGCAAGCACCTAGTAGAACGCTCAGTGTCAGTCCGGGGGTGAGAGGGCGGGGCGGAGGCGCAGTCTGCGGGCCCGGGACGGCGGGGCGGAGCGGCGGAGGCTGGCGGGCGGCCGCGCAGCGCTCGGAGGCTCAGGAGGCGGCCCCGGCGGGCGCCCGGCCGGCCTCGCGCGCGCCGCAGTCCCCCGCCCCCGCCCAGTGCGGCAGCGGCTGTCGGCCAGCCGGGGTTGGCGTCGCTGCCTGCCCGGCGCAGCCGCCGTCCACCTGCCAGTGGGGGAGGGGGAGCGACCGGGAGGGGGAGCGACCGGCACGCGGGTCAGAGGTCGCCCGGCGGCAGCCGGCGTCATTCATAAGGCCTGGCGCTGGGCAGCGGTGGTGGCCAGACCTGCTTGGGGGCCAGGCCGCGGGGGCTTCTGGGTTTTCTCAGCTGCAGGCAGGAGGATGCCGGCCCCGGCGCAAAGGGTGGCTGAGAGGGGGCGCTCCGTGTCCAGCCCTTTGCTGGGCCCCAGCCCTGGGCTCCTGCCAGTAGTAAGAGCTGGCACCCACTTAACGCTCCTTCGCACCACACTCCCATCGCGTAGGTGCTACCATCATCACTCCCATTGCACAGATGAAGAATCTGGGGTACAGCCAGGCAGATTCCCTGCTCCCATTCCCCGTCTGTATTTCCTGTCTGGGCAATGCAAAGGGAACCTGCCCTTCCTTCGGATTCTCTTTCAGTACACACCTAGCCGACAGTCTGGGTTTCCCAACTGCGACACTACTGACGGCGGGGGTGGGGCTGGATCATTCTCTGCTGGGGGGTGTCTTGTGCACACTAGGTGTTAAACAACATCCCCGCCTCTACCCACTGGATGCTAGGAGCCCCTCCTATTCCTGCTGGCCGTGGCAACCACGGTCTCCCGACATTGGTGAATGTGCTCTTGCGGGTCAGAACTGCTCCTGATTGAGAAGCACTGACGAGGAGTGCTTTTTACATTTTTTTTAATATAAAAACATTTTAATATACAAACAGCAATCACAAGACCATCCACATGGCAGCGAGGGGACTGGGGCGCTGCCAGGAGACGGAAGAAGGCAGGTCACCCCGACTCGGGAGGGCTAGCTGGGCTCAGAACTACAAGCCCATCTGCTGCTTAGACTTGAATAGCCCAAACCTGCAGTCCCAGGTCAACTGCAGTCCCAGGTCAACCACAGTTCCAGGGAGGGTCAGGGCCTTTCTATGAATTACCGGGAAATGGCTGACCACTCCGCCTCTGGATGGTTACATGGTAAGGTCTAGTAAAATTTAACAAAAGCGTTGCTGTTTGCGTGTTAGGATCACGATGTTGATTTCTTCCTATGGGTCAAGGGCAAAGTCTGAAAAATCACTGATTATAATCTATATGCAGGACAGCTGGTTTGCTTGTTTTGACAAAGAAAAACCCTTCCTGGAATGGAACCTGTCTAGAATACAACTGTAGAACCAATTAAGACTGGAGTGGGAAGGTGGGAAGAAGATATGGGACAGCCCACCCACTAGACAGGCAACAGGCCACCTCTGGGGGAGAGTGGACAGTTAGTTGCCTCAGCCCACCCGAGACAAAAGCACAAACATTCTAAACGAAGTGCTTTAAATTTTCAGACCAACCAAATATTTTTTAATATAAAAACATTTTAATAATATACAAACAGCAATCTCAACAGCATCCACATGGCAGAGAGGGAACCGGGGCACAGAGAGGGGGAGCGGGCTGGGGTGGGACGGTTTTCAGAGTCCCAGTTGCTTCCCTGGCTTGAAATCACCCTGGTCTTAGCAGAGGGCAATTAAGGCAGCCAGAGGCAGAGGGCTGACCCGGAGACAGACTGCACAGCCAGGGCCCTCTGATACCATCTTCCAACCATGGCAGCCTCCAGGGAAAGCCAGATCCCTTTAGGAGATAACAGGAGAGTGGCTGTGATTGACAGGAAAGGCAACATGGTTCCTCAGCATCCTGCTGATCATACCTCTGGGAATAGAGTTTTCCAGGGGCTGCTGGATTGAAGACCCAAGAATCTTCCTGGGAGCAGGATGGAAATGGGATCCGAGTCTACCTACTGACCAAGATTTCTTGCCTGTGGTACTAAAGGCTAGAGTGGATCCGCTCAGATGTGTGGGAAGACAAAGGAATGACAGCCTTTGGCTCAGCAGGACCAGAAACTTGGCAGGCACTGACCGAGTAGGTAAGTCACTACTCGGGCCAGGGAGGTCTGTGGGAAAGCTCTGGGTCTGTGGCACTCAAGGGCGCACAGTGGCGCAATGGCCTCAGGTAGAATTGATGATGTGTGTGGAAGGCGAAAAGAACACAAATCAGAATGAATTAAGAACTGAAGTACCTGCTTCTTATAAGCCTGTACAGAAGTGAGATCATCCTTCTCAGCCAGGACTGGGGAAGACCTGAGGCCTGTTCTTTCCTAGGGGCTGAGTTTGACAGGCCCGGATGCAGCTGATGGCCCCCAAAGTCCTCTAGATGGGCCCTGCAGGACTCGCTGGGAGGCCTGGGTGGCCCCTGCCAGTGTGGTGGGACACTCTTGGTTCCGGCAGTTAGATGCAGTCCATGGAGTTCTCAGGGAGGAGGCCAGGGATGCAGCCCGGGAGGCCTAGGCCCTTGATAGGAGTGCAGCTGAGTGGGAGACCGCAGCCCAGGGAGGGGTCCTGGTTCTCTATGGCCTCCAGCCTGTCCGTGTTGTTGTCCCAGTTGATGTGGAAGCGGGTGACCCGGGGGTTCGAGGCCAAGATGTTCCGCTGGAGCTGGGGCAGGAAGAGGAATGTCAGTCCTTGTTGGCATGCCCTCTCCTTGCTCCCACAGAGCCAGGACATCCCCAATCACTCATCTCAAGCCCAGCAAGAGCAGACCTATAGGTGGAACTCCAGAAAACACATGTGCACCATAATTTAGGGCAGGCGTCCCCAAGCTACGGCCCGTGGGCCGCATGCGGACCCCTGAGGCCATTTATCCGGCCCCCAGCCGCACTTCAGGAAGGGGCACCTCTTTCATTGGTGGTCAGTGAGAGGAGCACAGTATGTGGCAGCCCTCCAACGGTCTGAGGGACAGTGAACTGGCCCCCTGTGTAAAAAGTCTGGGGACGCCTGATTTAGGACCAGGACCTATCTTTTCTTTTTTTTTTTTGAGACAGAGTTTTGCTTTTGTTGTCCAGGCTGGAGTGCAATGGTGCAATCTTGGCTCACTGCAACCTCTGCCTCCGGATTCAAGCAACTCTCCTGCCTCAACCTCTTGTGTAGCTGGGACTACAGGTGCATGGTGCCACACCCAGCTCATTTTTCTATTTTTAGTAGAGATGAGGTTTCACCATGTTGGCCAGGCTGGTCTCAAACTCCTGACCTCAGGTGATCTACCCGCCTTGGCCTCCCAAAGTGCTGAGATTATAGGTGTGAGCCACTGTGCCTGGCCCAGGACCTATCTTTTATTTTATTTTATTTTTTTGAGACAGAGTTTCACTCTTGTTACCCAGGCTGGAGTGCAATGGTGCGATCTCGGCTCACGGCAACCTCCGCCTCCTGGGTTCAGGCAATTCTCCTGCCTCAGCCTCCTGAGTAGCTGGGATTACAGGCACGCGCCACCATGCCCAGCTAATTTTTTGTATTTTTAGTAGAGACCGGGTTTCACCATGTTGACCAGGATGGTCTCGATCTCTTGACCTCGTGATCCACCTGCCTCGGCCTCCCATAGTGCTGGGATTACAGGCTTGAGCCACCGCACCCAGTCCCTTTTTTTTTTTTTTTTAAGGGACAGTCCTACTGTTGGCCAGGCTGGAATGTGCTGGCACGATCTGAGCTCACTGCAGCCTCAAACTCCTGGGCTCCAGTGATTCTCCCACCTCAGCCTCCAGAGTAGAGCACGCTACCCACGTCTGGCTCACTTTTTTGTTGGGTAGAGACAGGGTCTCGCAATGTTGCCTGAGCTTGCCTATCTAATCTTAATTCTCTAAGACATGCCTTTGAGAAACAAAGAGCTCTTTCTCCTGCTCTAAGTACGGTAAGAACTGAACATTACTTGAAAACCTTACGAAGAGACCTTGACTCCCAATTTGCATGGCTGAACTCCTCCCAAGTATAAGGAACTGCCCGTGGGAATCAGGAAGTGGAAAGAGACCCCACCTGAGAGAAGTCTGGCTTCATGGGCGGGTTCTCCCGCAGCTCGGGGTTGAGGTACTCATTGTTGACGTAGTACCCCACTCGGATGAACTCCTGTCCGTGGTAGGTGCAGGTGATGAGGACCACGGTCACACCCACAGCATCAGTCTCTGGGATGAGGGATGGGTTGGGGGCGTCGGCCTAGGGAGACACATCCTAGGCCTTAGCAGTGCCACAGCCATGTCTCAACAGCATTAACACAAAGATTCCAAGCAACACATATTTACTGAACAAAAAGTATGCTCTGCCCTCAGCTTTTTTTCTGCTTCTGTCGCTCACGTTCAAGCAGTTCTGCCTCAGCCTCACAGGCAGCTGGGACTACAGGCGCATACCACCACACCTGGCTGATTTTTTTTGTTTGTTTTTTTGAGACGGAGTTTCGCTCTGTCACCCAGGCTGGAGTGCAATGGCACAGTCTTGTCTCACTGCAAACTCTGCCTCTGTGTTCAAGCAATTCTCCTGCCTCAGCCTCCCGAGTAGCTGGGATTACAGGCATGCACCACCAGCTCAGCCTTTTTTTTTTTTTTAATTATTTTTAATTTTTTTTTTTGTATTTTTTTTTTTTTTTTTTTTTTTTTTTGAGACCGAGTTTTGCTCTTGTTACCCAGGCTGGAGTGCAATGGCGCAATCTCGGCTCACCGCAACCTCCGCCTCCTGGGCTCAGGCAATTCTCCTGCCTCAGCCTCCTAAGTAGCTGGGATTACAGGCACGCGCCACCACGCCCAGCTAGTTTTTTGTATTTTTAGTAGAGACGGGGTTTCACTATGTTGACCAGGATGGTCTCGATCTCTCGACCTCGTGATCCACCCGCCTCGGCCTCCCAAAGTGCTGGGATTACAGGCTTGAGCCACCGCGCCCGGCCTTTTTTTTTGTATTTTTAGTAGAGATGGGACTTCAATGTGTTGGCCAGGCTGGTCTTAAATTCCTGACTTCAGGTGATCCACCCACCTCGGCCTCCCAAAGTGTTGGGATTACAGGTGTGAGCCACCTCGCCTGGCTTTTTTTTTTTTTGGATATAGAGTCTTCCTCTGTCACCCAGGCTGGAGTGCAGTGGCGCCATCATGGCTCACTGCATCCTTGAACTCCTGGGCTCAAGCAATCCTTCTGCTTCAGCCTCCCAAGCAGCTGGGACCAAGGTGGCCTCCCAAAGGGCTGGGATTACAGGCGTGAGCCATGGTGCCCCGCCAGCAGTTGTCAACTGATGGAAAGACAGAATCAACCCCACAAATGACTATAAAACATTGACCGTGGCAGGAAGGGGCGTGTGGAGGAGTGTGGTCAGCCAGGGGACAATGGCATGAAGCTGAACAGGTGGGGCAGGTGGATATCAGGCCACTCAGGAGCCAGATAAGGGATTGGGAAAGGGCAAGAGAGTTAGCAGGAGGTTAAGTGCCACATCATTCTTGTGGTCTGAAAAGAAGACTCTGGCAATGTGCGGAGGAGGCTGTAGCAGAAGCAGAAGGCTGACGCCAGTCATCCTGGAGAGGCAGTGGCCTTGGCCTAGACCAGGCAGTGAAGGAGATTCAGGGTGTGCTGCTGCAAACAAGACCAGCCATGTAATTGGTGCAAAATAAAACCAGTGCAAAATGAAAACACCAGGCCCCTCTGGAAAAGCTGTTAGGCGTCAGACGGTGACAGCAGAGAATCGCACCAAGTATGGGGTCCTGTGTGGCTGCCTGGGTTGCACACCCAGGAGGCTGGTCTTGATAGTTGAGTAGATAGAGCCTGTCGGTGGATTTGATAGTGGTGGCTGAGGGGCTTAGATGCGATGTGGTAGCTTGTATTAGGGCATTAACAGCAGTGATGGAGGTAAGGGAGTGAATCAGAGCAGAAGCTCCCAGAGAATCACCTGGAGAGCTCAGAATCTCCATTTCTGCTTTATATTTTCTTAAGAGATCAGGTCTTACTCTGTCATCCAGACTGGAGTACACTGGCGCAATCACAGGTCACTACTGTAAACTCCTGGGCTCAAGCGAGCCTTTTTTTTTTTTCTGAGATGGTCTCACTCCATCGCCCAGGCCGGATTGCAGTGGCACAATCTCAGCTCACTGCAACCTCTGCCTCCCATTCAAGCGATTCTTGTGCCTTAGTCTCCCAAGTAGCTGGGATTACAGATGTGTACCACCACACCCAGCTAATTTTTGTATTTTTTAGTAGAGACAGGGTTTTACCATATTGGCCAGGCCAGTCTTGAACTCTTGACCCCAAGTGATCCGCCCGCCCCAGCCTCCCCAAAGTGTTAGAATTACAGGCATAAGCCACTGCCCCAGCCAGTCTCAAGTGAGTCTTCTGCTTCAATCTCCCTAGTAGCTGGTACTACAGGCCTGCATCACTACAGCTAATTTTTTAATTTTTTATAGAGAGGGGTCTCATTCTGTCACCCAGAATGCAGTGCAGAGGTACACTCATAGCTCACTGTAGCCTCAAACTCTCACTCAAGCAAGCCTCCAGCTTCAGCCTCCCAAGTAGCTGGGACCACAGATGTGTGCCACCACACCTAGCTGATTTTTTTATTTTTTGTAGAGATGGGGCTGTCTCACTAAGTGGCCCTGGGACTCCTGGCCTTATGCAATCCTCCTGCCTCTGCTTCCCAAAGTGCTGGAGGCCACCACATCTGGCCAGAATATACATTTGGCAACCTAGGGGTGCTGCATGAGAGCCATTTAGGAGTTACAGTCTGTCCTCATTATTCACGGGTCCTCATAATTCACCTACTTGCCACATTCATTTGTAACCCCAAGATGAAGACTTGCAGTGCTTTCATGTCATTTGCAGACATGCACAGAGCAGGGAAAAACTGTGGAGTTACCCACCCTACCTGTTCCCACCTGAGGTCAAACAAGGCAACACCCTGCCTTCCAGTCTCAGCTCTTATTGTGAACGAGTGTCCCTTCTTCAGTCTACTTAGTGCTAATTTTTTCCCATTGTGCTTTTTCTTGGTGAGTTTGCCATCTGTGACAGCACCCAACTGTAGTGCTGAAGTGCAGCACAGGGTGCAGGAAAGGCCTTAGGGAAAAATGCGTGTTAGAGCAGGCTTCGGGAGCGAGTGAGAGTGCTGTGGGCTGTGAGCTGAACATAAATGAACCACAGTATATATTACTTGACGTGTCACTCAGGCTGGAGTGTAGTGGTGCAATCTCGGCTAACTGCAATCTCTGCCGCCCGGATTCCAGCGATTCTCCCCCATCTGGAGGATTTGCCTCCTGAGTAGCTGGGATTACAGTTGTGCACCACCATGCCTGGCTAATTTTTGTATTTTTAGTAGAGACAGGGTTTCACCATGTTGGTCAGGCTGGTCTTCAATTCCGCACCTCAGGTGATCCATCCACCTTGGCCTCTAAAAGTGCTGGGATTAGAGGCGTGAGCCACCGTGCCCAGCCTGGTGTCTTTTCAACAGCCAGTCAATACATAAACACACATACAAGTTTATGTATTGACTGGCTGACAAAACTCGACTTCCAAGAATCTACCCCTGTATTTCCCCTGGGGCAATGGTTCAGTATTCATTAATTCAGTGTTTGTGGTAACTTTATAGAACACAGCTCTTGTGAATAATGAGAATTGACTGTCAATCAGTGGCAGCTGTGACACAGAGGTGGGGGAAGAAAGGGCCTGAAAGCCTGAGAGGTCAAATAGTTCCTGACAGAACTAGGATTTAAACCTGAACGTAAAAAAATTTTTTTTATTTATTGATTGAGACTGTCTCACTCTGTTGCCCAGGCTGGAGTGCCGTGGTGTGGTCTTGGTTCATTGCAGCTTCTACCTCCCAGGCTCAAGTGATCCTCCTACCTCAGCCTCCTGAGTAGCTGAGACTACAGGGCGTACACCACCGTGCTCTGCCGGTTTTAAAATTTTTTGTAGATTAGCTGGGCATGGTGGCACGTGCCTGTAATCCCAGCTACTCAGGAGGCTGAGGCAGGAGAATTGCGTGAACCCAGGAGGCGGAGGTTGCGGTGAGCCGAGGTCGCGCCATTGCACTCCAGCCTGGGTAACAAGAGCGAAACTCCGTCTCCAGAAAAAAAAAAAAAAGAACTCAAGTGTTTATCGATCTGGGATATATTCCTTTATAGCCCAGCCATGTGATGGAATACTATAATGTTGTAAAAATGGGTTAAGAGTTCTTTATGAATTGGTGTGGAAATATTGCGAAGATATGAAAGCCAAATGCAGAAAAATGTATGTGTTATGCTATAATCTATGTGAAAAAGACATTACAGTTCTCTGGAAGGATAAACAGAAATTTGAGAATGGTGGATATCTGGAATGACAGGTATCCTTTTCATTGTACTTTAAACGTTCTGACATTTTGGTGTTTGCCTATTCAAAAAATGGTTAAAATCAGTTGCCACCAATTAAAAGTTAGGAGAATGCATATAAAGAACTGGATTTCCTGTTTGTTTGTTGCCTTAAGAATTTAAGCCCATTGTTTTTAATGCCAGATATTCTAATTTTAAACAAACAATGAGCTAAATAAAGTCAAGTTGTTTTGGGGGGAAAAAATAAAATAAAATAAAATAAAATAAAATAAAATAAAATAAAATTTTTTGTAGAGATGGGGGTCTCACTATATTGCCCAGGCTGGTCTCAAACCCCTGGCCTCAAGCAATCCTCCCACCCTGGCCTCCCAAAGTGCTGGGATTATAGGTGTGAGTCACTGCACCCAGCCTCTATTTATTAAAAAAAAAAAGAAAAAAAAATTTTTTTTTCTCTTCTTTTTTTTTTTTTTTTGAGACAGAGTCTCGCCCTGTTCCCCAGGCTGGAATGCAATGGCGTGATCTCAGCTCACTGCAACCTTCACCTCCTGGGTTCAAGCGATTTTCCCATCTCAGCCTCCTGAGTAGCTGGGATTACAGGCAAATGCCACCATGCCCAGCTAATTTTTGTATTTTTAGTAGGGATGGGTTGTCACCATGTTGGTCAGGCTGGTCTTGAACTCCTGACCTTGTGATCCACCCACCTAAGTCTCCCAAAGTGCTGGGATTACAGGCGTGAGCCACCATGCCCAGCCCTATTTATTTTTTTAATACTTGTTTTGTTCTTTTTTTTAAGAGACAGGGTCTCACTGTGTTGCCTTGGCTGGAGTACAGTGGCTCAATCATAGTTCACTGCAGCCTTAGACTCCTGGGCTCAAGCAGTCCTCTCACCTTGATCTCTGGAGTAGCTGGGTCTCTAAGTGTGAGGCCCTGCACACAGCTGAACTTGAACTTTTGATTCCTAGCACTCTATGGGATTTCAGGTAAAAGAGGATGTCTCTAGAAGTCAAGGGCTGAGGCCTAAGGCCTCATCTTTCTTACCTGAAAGACAAACATGTGTCTCCCTGCTGGCACAGGGCCCACCAGCACCGAGTCTAGGATCTGATCAAACTCCTCACTCTCAGCTGAGCCAACATAAATGATCTTCCACTCCAGGTCTGCAAGGACATAGGAGAGTTAACGAGTTGAAATAGCTTGACAGCAAAATAAGGCAGTGAAAGGGTCTTATATAATTTTTTTTGAGATGGAGTCTCGTTCTGTCACCCAGGCTGGAGTACAGTGATGTGATCTCAGCTCACTGCAACCTCCACCTCCCAGATCCAAGTGATTCTCATACCTCAGCCTCCGGAGTGGCTGGGAATACTGGCGCCCACTGCCATACCTGGCTAATTTTTTTTTGAGACAGAGTTTCACTCTTGTCACCCAGGCTGGAGTGCAATGGCGTGATCTTGGCTCACTGCAATCTCTGCCTCCCAGGTTCAAGTAATTCTCCTATCTCAGCCTCCTGAGTAGCTGGAATTACAGGAGCCCACCACTATGCCTGGTAGATTTTTAAATTTTTAGTAGAGACGGGGTTTTACCATGTTGGTCAGGCTGGTTTTGAACTCCTGACCTCAGGTGATCCACCCACCTCCGCCTTACAAAGTGCTGGGATTACAGGTATGAGCCACCGCATCTGGCCTTTTTTTTTTTTTTTTTTGTATTTTTAGTAGAGATGGGGTTTTGCCATGTTAGCCAAGCTGGTATCCAACTCCTGACTTCAAGTGATCTGCCTACCTCAGCCTCTCAAAGTGGTGAGATTAAGGTGTGAGCCACCACACCCAGCCTTTTTTGTATTTTTAGTAGAGATGGGGTTTTGCCATGTTAGCCAGGCGGGTATCCAACTCCTCACCTCAAGTGATCTGCCTGCCTCAGCCTTCCAAAGTAGTGGGATTACAGGTGTCAGCCACTGCAGCTGGCCAGGTCTTTTATTAATTTTATTTTTATTTATTTTTTGAGACAGTCTCCCTCTGTTGCCCAGGCTGGAGTTCAGTGGCATGATCATGGCTCACTGTAGCCTCAACCTGCTGGGCTTGAGTGATCCTCCTGCCTCAGCCTCTCACCGTGTTGGGATTACAGGTGTGGGCTGCTGTACCCGCCTCGTGGTAATTTTAGACAGATTCTTATTCCATCTGTGAGGCATTAATGTCAGGCACTGCAGTCCTGAATGCAGAGATGGGCATGAAGCTCTACTTCCATTAGGGAATTCTGTTTTGTAGGCCTAGCTATGACAAGTGACCTTGACTGTACCTCTGGGGAAACCTGGGCCTCTCACGGCCTGAGCGTGAACTGTATGGCAGAGGTTGAATTAAGAGCCACGTGACACAGCCATGCCGCGAAGGGAATGGCAGGGAGTTGGGCCATTTCAGGGCTCTGCCCACTGGGTGCTGGGATAGGAAGCAGCATCCTCTTTCACACACAGGGACCGGTGCCACTCAACGGAGTGGATCCCTCGACAACTGGGACAGGGCGGCAGATTCCAATCCGGCAGGAGAGCCAGCAGGCAGGAGGGGGAAGGTAAGGCTGCTCAGGGAGCCAGCCACCCTGGTCTTCCAGATCTGGCACCAAGTCATGCCTACTTAGAGACATTTGGGCAACTCAGTCAGCAAATGCAGCATCCGGGGTGTTCCTCCAAACCCTCCCCTGCTTTTTTTTGAGATGGAGGCTTCACTCTTGTTGCCCAGGCTGGAGTGCAGTGGTGGGATCTTGGCTCACTGCAACCTCTGCCTCCTGGGTTCAAGCAATTCTCCTGTCTCAGCCTCCTGAGAAGCTGGAATTACAGGCATCTGCCACCACAGTTGGCTAAACTTTTGTATTTTTAGTAGAGATGGAGTTTCACTATGTTGGCCAGGCTGGTCTTGAACTCCTGACCTCAGGTGATTCACCTGCCTTGGCCTCCCAAAGTGCTGGGATTACAGGCGTGAGCTACTGCGCCCAGCCTCAAACCTTAACTCTTGCACGCCATCCGGATGGGGAGCCCCATCGCTTGAATATGCTCCATGGAGATGAAAGCAAAGTGCTTACAGAGGCCCGGCCCGTCAATCACAGGAAATTCCCAGTGACCACGGCCTCTTGCAGGAGGTCCAAGTGTATCAGGGGCAAGGTCATGTTAGTACAAGGAGGCTTGGCAAGAGGCTTGAAGCTTATTTTCAGCTCTTTAGAAATTACACAACCCTTCAGCTCTAGCAGCTGGGGGAAGTTTCACAAGCTGTGATTTTCACAGGAAGCAAACTCTCTCAGAAGCTGCCCTGTTCCTTGGTCCACTGTCCCACAAGTGCATCCAACTTTGGAAGTATACTGCTGCCGGCTCATGACTGTAGAGATTTGTTACCTGAGCCCCAAGCCCTTCTCTGATGCTTTAGCTGCCTGTCCCTTTGTGGTTTCACTCAGGAACCCTATAGCAGGTCTGTAGGATACAGGCGACCACTGAACTCAGTGGGGTTTGGTCATACTAGCCTCTTATTATTATTATTTTGAGATGGAGTCTTGCTCTGTCACCCAGGCTGTAGTGTTGTGGTGTGATCTCGGCTCGCTGAAACCTCTGCCTCCTTGGTTCAAGCTATTCTTCTGTCTCAGCTTCCCAAGTATTTTAATTGTAGTACAGAAGGAGTTTCATCATATTGATCAGGATGGTCTCGAACTCCTGACCTTGTTTGTGATCCACCTGCCTTGGCCTCCCAAAGTGCTGGGATTACAGGCGTGAGCCACCAGGCCCAGCCTTAGCCTCTCATTATTTGCAGGGAGGAAATTAACTTTTATCCCCCTAGAGATGGGGTCTTGGTCTGTCACACAGGCCGGAGTGCAGTGGCATAATCACAGCCCACTACAGCCACAAACTCCTGTGTTTAAGCGATTCTCCTACCTTAACCTCCCAAGTAGCTGGGACCACAGGCTTGTGCCACATGCCTAGGTAATTTTTACTTTATTTATGTATTTATTTTTGAGACAGAGTCTTGCTGTCGCCCAGGCTGGAGTGCATTGGCACACTCTCGGCTACTGCAACATCCGCCTCCTGGGTTCAAGCAATTCTCCTGCATCAGCCTCCCAAGTAGCTGGGATTATAGGTTTGTACCACCATGCCAGGCTAACTTTTGTATTTTTTTTTTTTTCTGTTCTCTTTTTTTTAGTGATCTGGTCTCTGAATATCAGTATAATTTTTGTATTTTTAAGTAGAGATGGGGTTTCACCATGTTGGTCAGGCTGGTTGCGAACCCCTGACCTTGTGATCTGCCCGCCTCAGCCTCCCAAAGTGTTGGGATTACAGGTGTGAGCCACTGCGCCCAGCTAATTTTTATATATATATTTTAGAGATGGGGTCTTGCTTCGTTGCCCAGCCTGGTCTCAAGCAATCCTCCTGCCTTGGCCTCCCAAAATGATGGGATTTGTCTGAGCCACCATGCCCAGCCTGTTGATTTATTTTTGTTACAAGCAGTGACACAACTAGAATCAAGTTAGGGGAAGACAGAAAAACAAGCCAGCCCGGCTCTTTCCTTTCCAAAGCAGTTGTGTCGGTTTGGTATATTTCCTCTAGCCCTTTCCTCTCATAGCCAGTAGCGTCCCATATGGGTACGTTTAATTCATATGCTGGGAGAGCAAACTAAAAAGTCTAAAGTGTACCCATGAGCACCTGATGTTGTCCAGCTGAATATTTAGTATTTAGTATGCCAATACTAATTGGCAAAACCTAAACAAAGAGCATGTGGAAACTGACTGAAAGAAATAGGCCCGTGCAATATGGTGAGAGACTTCAACTCTACTAAAACTCAACAAAGTTGGCTGGGAGCGGTGGCTCATACCCGTAATCCCATTACCAAAGAGGGCAGATCACAAGGTGAAGAGATCAAAACCAGCCTGACCAATATGGTGAAAATCCCATCTTTACTAAAAATACAAAAATTAGCCGGGCATGGTGGCGTGCACCTGTAGTCCCAGCTTCTAGGGAGGCTGAGGCAGGAGAACTGCTTGAACCCGGGAGGCAGAGGTTGCAGTGAGCCAAGATCGCACCACCGCACTCCAGCCTGGCAACAGAGCAAGACCCTGTCTCAGAAAAAAAAAAGAAAAAAAAAAAAATCAACATAATTAGCTGGGTGTGGTAGTGCACGTCTGTGGTCCCACGTATTTGGGAGGCTGAGGTTGAAGGATCGCTTGAGCCTAGGAGTTCAAGGCCGCAGTTAATCATGATCGAGCCACTGCACTCCAGCGTGGGCGACAGAAACCCTATCTCAAAGGGAAAAAAAGAAAAAGAAAAAATGTACTGTGTTGACTGTTAGGCACACAGGCTAAACTGGCTCTTTCAACCACAGTCAGAAAGAAACTGGAGAATTAACTGAGGGCTGTAGAGAAATACCGACTCAAGAATTACAGAAGCTGGTTGCGTGTGGTGACTCTTGCCTGTAATCCAAGCACTTTGGGAGGCTGAGGCAGGCAGACTGCCTGAGTTCAGGAGTTCAAGACCAACCTGAGCAACATGGTGAAACCCAGCTCTACTAGAAATACAAAAAATTAGCTGGGTGTGCACCTGTAATTGCAACTACTCAGGAGGCTGAGGCATAAGACGTTCTTGAACCCAGGACATGGCAGAGATTGCAGTAAGCAGAGATCATGCCACTGCACACCAGCCTGGGCAACAGAGTAAGACTCTGTCCCAAAAAAATAAATAAAAGAAAGAGACAGAGAAAAAGAAATAAAGAAGGAAGTGTTACAGCTTTTTATGTATTATATGCTCATGGCTATAATCCTAGCACATTGGGAGGCTGAGGCAGGCAGATGGACTGCCTGAGCTCAGGAGTTCGAGACCAGCCTGGGGAACACGATGAAACCCTATCTCTACAAAAATACAAAATATTAGCTGGTCATGGCAGCGTGCATCTGTAGTCCCAGGTACTTGGGCAGCTGGGGCAGGAGAATTGCTTAAACCCAGCAGGTGGAGGTTGCAGTGAGCTGAGATCACACCACTGCATTCCAGCCCGGGTGACAGAGTGAGACTCTGTCTCAAAAAAAAAAAAAAAAAAAAAAAAAGAGTTATAGAGGGTAACAGGACCGCCTATGGAAGGTAGAAGATGATCAAAATAAAGGCCTGCCAATTAGAATCATCTTTTTTTTTTTTTTGACAGAATCTTGCTCTGTCACCCAGGCTGGAGTGCATGGTACAATCTCGGCTCACTGCAACCTCTATCACCCAGGTTGCTGCCCACCCCAATTTTTTTTTTTTTTTTTTTTTTGCCTTTGTTGATAACCACAGATGAGCCCTGCTACCATAACCACTGCGTTAGTTCTGGGTCAGAACATCTGGGTTCTATGACTTGGAAGCATCTATTTCCAGATGTTGAAGATAAAAGTGCAAAGGGGGCTTGCAGCCCTTGAGAAACAGGGGTCACCCGACTGGGGCTTAGAGGTTAGGGTCATGGTTTTCTTTTCTTTTCTTTTTTTTTTTTTTTTTTTTTGAGATGGGTTCTTGCTCTCTTGTCCAGGCTGGAGTGCAGTGGTGCAATCTTGGCTCACTGCAGCCTTCACCTGCTGGACTCATGAAATCTTCTCACTTCAGCCTCCTGAGTAGCTGGGACCACAGGCATATGCCACCAAGCCTGGCTAATTTTCTGATGTTTCTGTAGAGACAAGGTTTTACTGTTACCCAGACTGGCCTAAAACTCCTGGGCTCAAGCAATCCTCCTTCCTTAGCATCCCAAATTGCTGGGATTACAGGCATGAGCCACCTCACATAGCTGGATTAGGGGTTTTGTCAGATTTTCAGTTGACACTGCTGAGATTGAGGCAGATTCTCTCATTTCATGGAGAGGAGGCCAGAAAGAGGCAGAAAGCAAGCTGGCAGAGCAGTCACAGACAGTCCTAGGACTGGAAGAGCCAGGATTTCTCACTTGAGTATCCTGAAGGAAAAGATTTATCATCCAGGTGCAATTAACAATAGCATTCCCTGGCCGGGCGCTTGGGATTCAAAGTGTAGTCCCAGCACTTTGGGAGGCTGAGGCGGGCAGATCACTTGAGGTCAGGAGTTTGAGACCAGCCTGGCCAACGTGGTGAAACCTTGTTTCTACTAAAAATACAAAAATTAGCCAGGCGTGGTGGCTCATGCTGGTAGTCCCAGCTACCTGGGAGGCTGAGGCTACGGAATCACTTAAACTTGGGCGGTAGAGATTGCAGTGAGCTGAGATCGTGCCACTGCACTCTAGCCTGGGTGACAGAGTTAGACCCCACCTCAAAAATAATAATAATAATAATAATAGCACACCGCTTTACTGAGTTTTGAGTGTCCTGATTTGGCAATAAATTCTGTGGTCATTCCTATCCATGTTCCACCCCTGAAATAGGGAATCCTTCTTTTCTTTCCCTGGATTGGAACAAAGATAAAGAACTTAGATTCAGAACTTAGTGACAATACTTCTATAAACTGGCTGTGTGATCCTCGAGAAGTCATTCCATTTCTATTAAAAAATGACCAGCAGGGCCAGGTGCGGTGGCTCATGCCTGTAATCCCAGCACTTTTGGAGACTGAGGCATGTGGATCAGGAGTTCGAGACTAGCCTGACTAAAATGGTGAAATCTCATCTCTACTAAATTAGCCAGCCGTGGTGGTGCATGCCTGTAATCCCAGCTACTCAGGAGGCTGAGACAGGAGAATTGCTTGAACCCAGGAGGCAGAGGTTGCGGTGAGCCAAGATCATGCCACTGCACTTCAGCCTGGGCAACAGAGCAACACTCTGTCTAAAAAAAAAAAAAAAATTACCAGCAGGTTGACTTTAGCCTTTCCGACTCCAATTCTATAAATAAGTTAGTAAAGTCACAGGGCAGGGGCTTCCTAGTAGAAGTACCGGATAATGACCGCGTCACCATTTGTAAATGCAAGGAACACAAACAGGCTGATTGAAACCCGATCTGCCGTCTGGAAGCTGGGAATCCCTCAGCCTATTACCTCCTTCCATCTCCTCCTGGCTTTTAAATTAAATCTTATTCCACAGCGACATTCTACACTTTATTTATTTATTTACCCGCTGCCCTGTTCCAGAAAGGATTTAACTTGGCTTATTCTATAGTTAGCCACAAGTAGACTCCTTAATTTAAAAAAGGATTGAGAGAGACCAGGAAGAGATAGACCTACTGGCCTACCCGGAGCACATCCGCATCTCACTGTGTCAGCCCCAAGCTAATACACGCCATCAGCTTTGAGGGGAAACCACCCACCTGACCCTGAGAGGCACTAGTTAGCACACCCGGGCTTCACAGGCCACTGCATCGCCACCTCCTTGGCTGCTGCTGCCTTTTCTCTTTTACCCACCAAGTAGAAAAATGGCCTAATGGAGTACTTCTTCCTGAAAGCAGGACTTGCCTTTTAGTGGTGCCAAGGCTCCCTGGGTGACCTTAGATTTTGGATTTGTACAAGCCTTGACTTGAAAGGTCTTTTGCGCTTTGTGCCTCCTGTCTTCTCATCTGTGAGATGAGAACCATGTCCACCTTTAAGTCATACAGATTAATAAGTACCTCTGCGGAAGCACCATGGAAAAGATGCATAGGAATCTGTGACCTCCAAGCTCCAGCCGACTGTTTGAAGCTGGAGCCCGTCAGAGCTCAGCCCAGTCCACCCACCCCCAGACTAGGTCAGACCATGAAAAGCGATGGAAGCTTGGCACTGATTATCCAGCTATGTAAAAGAAGAAGAAAGGAAGAAGAAGAAAGAAGAAAGAAGAAGAAAACTAGGCGCAGTGCCTCATGCCCGTAATCCCAGCACTCTGGGAGGCTGAGGCAGGTGGATCACAAGGTCAGGAGTTTGAGACCAGCCTGGGCCACATGGTGAAAGCCTGCCTCTACTAAAAATACTAAAATTGGCCAGGTGTGGTGGCCTGTGCCTATAATCCCTGCATTTTGGGAGGACGAGGTAGGTGGATCACTTACAGTCGATAGTTGGCAGCCAGCCTGGCTAACGTGGTGAAACCCCACCTCTACTAAATACTAAAATTAGCCGGGCGTAGTGGCAGGCGCCTGTAATCCCAGCTACTCGGGAGGCTGAGGTTGCAGTGAGCCAAGATTGTGCCACTGCACTCCAGCCTGGGCAACAGAGCAAGACTCTCTCAAAAAAGAAAAGAAAAAAGAAAAGAAAAAGCGAAGAATTGCTACAGTCAGTCAGCTGGAAATGGGCGGGCAAACCTGGCGAACTAGCTAATGCCTGCCTGACTGTGCCACCCCTCGGATCTCAGTGTGTTTATCCAAGCCTACAGAAGAGGGTGGGGAAGGGGAGCTGGTGAGACCAAGTTACTGCAAACCGTAGCATCCTTCCCAGGGGGAGCTCAAGGATAAGGAGATTGGGCCCCAATGAAGGAGGGAAATCAGGTTCCAGGGTATGTGCATTGGGGTAGAAAACCAGCAGCAATTGGTGAGGGTGGGGTTGTTGAAATATCGGCAGGTTGGGGAGGGGATAGCTGGGAGACAGATGGGAAGATGGGGGAGAGAGTGGTCTTGACAAGGGGTTGACGGGTTTTCATATGGAAAAAAGTTTACTGGAGGGGAGGGTCTTCACGGTGGGGGGAGAAGGGAGTTGCGGGAGAGGTCTCCAAAGGGAAAATAGAAAATGGCTGGGATTTCCCCCCGGGGAAAAGGGGAAGGGGCTGCAGAGTGGGGTCTCCAGAGGGAAAAAGGGAGATGGGAATATCTCACTACAGGAAAGAGTCTAAGTGGGCAAAAATGGGTGGGTGGCCGAAACAGGGGTCTTGCCACAGGGAAGCTACGGTGGCTGAAGATCTCCGTGGGTTAAGAAATGGAGGCCGAGAAGGTCTGTCCATGAAAATGGGTACCTCGGAAGAGCTCCAAAGAAAAAAGATGGATGAGGCTCCCCACGCTGGAAATGGGGCTTGGGCGGGGGACGTTAATCCCTATGGGGAGGTCGCGGCGGGCAGTGGCGAAGGAGATCCCTGGGATGTCCAAGTTGGCTAGCGGGAAGCCTCCACCCGGAAGGTCAAGGTGGGCAGTCGGGGAGGCAGTCCCGGGGAGGTCCGAGTTGGCTGGTGGCTGGGGGGGGGGGTGGTCTCCACCCGGACATCGGGTTGACCGGCGGGCTGGGGGAGATCGGGGTTGGCGGAGAGGGAGGACGAGGGGTTTCATAGGAGAGATCAAGTTGGCCATGGGAGCAGTTTTCCGCGGGGAGGCCGGGGTCGGCCCGGGGGTGGGGATTACCCGCACAAGCCCAGCCTCACCGTCCGCCAGGGCTTCACTGCACTCGAAGCTGATCTCGAACCGGAAGGGGCTGTGGAAAGGGCTCGGGTTCTCCAGTACCGCCACGTTCAACACCGACACCTTGGCCATCGCCTCGCCTCACCGCGCCGCAGCAGGGACAGGGGCAGGGGCAGGGCCAGGGGCTGTGGCTGAGGCCGCGTCTGGGTCCGGTAGCGGGATCAGCGGGGTAGGGTTGACAAAATCCACTCCAGTCTCTTCTTCGGACAGAAGTGCGCACCTCGTACGCGCGCCGCCTTCAAATAGCCGGCCTCCGCCCTCTGGCCAATCACCGCCAACGCTCCCTGGCGGCGCGCGCACCCTCTTAGCCAATCCTGGAGCGCCAGTGGGCGCGCGCCCAGACTCCTCGGACCAATGAGCGGAGCTCCCTCTCCGCAGAGCGTGAGGCGGGCGGAACCACCTCCAGGCTTCTTGGCGTGTCCTCTGGGAACCAATCCCCAGCGTCTCCGACTAGGAGGTCAACGGCAGGAGTGGACGGAGTCAGAGCGCCGGCCTCCTGCTGGCCAATCCTGAGGGTTCCCGCACCGGCGTGGCCCGCCCCTCGCCTCGCTATTCCGGGATATGTATCCCGTAGCGCGCAGCGCCGCCAACCGCCGAGCGGTGGCGCGCGGCGCTCGCTGAAGAAGGCGGGAAGGGCGGTGCTCGCACCCTCAGTGATTGGCAGGAGGGAGTGGGGCGGAGATAAAGTGGGTTTTTTGAGAGTTGATTGGCTGGATTGGTAATAAAAGTGGGAGCCTAAGGAGACTCAGCTGGCGATTCGCTGGAGAGAAGCGGAAGTCGGACGTCACCGCGATGCTGGGGAGTGTGAAGAGAGAGGAGGAGCGTTTGCGGCCTCAGCGTCTGTCAACAGGTGAGCGTTGGCCGGAGCTTTTCTGAGTGGCTGGCTCCTGACCTCGCGGTGCAGATGTGTCCGTTGTGAACGTTGTGAACGTTCGGAGTGGCGGTCACGCGGCGCGCTCGGACCTCGGGAGTCCGGCCGAGTTTGGATCCCGCTCTTGCCCCCGAGGGGTTGGAATCCCTATGTCGCCCCCTGGTGGGCTCTTGGGAGGTTTCAAGCGGACGGTACTGAACATGGGAGTTCCAGTTAGGGGACAGACCAGGGTTCGAGTCGGTGCTCTGCTACTCAGCGCTCGAGGCAGCGTCTCCCTTCCCCTTGAACGGCGCCGTGGAAATTCCCTCTCATGACTCGTGACCACATAATACATCCAGAAACTTGTCTCCGCCGCATCCCGCCTGCGCCGTCGCCCCCGGCTTGGGAGACTCCAGGTCGCGGAGTCTCTGCCCCACGGGAAATCAGCGCTGCCCAGTGGAAAAATAATGCCTGCCGCGCCCCTAATTTTACATTTTTTGGAAGCCACTTTAAAAACAACAACAACAATAACAACAAAAAACGGAGTATCGCGGTGTGGCCCAGGCTGGAGTGCAGTGGCTCGATCTTAGCTCGCTGCAACCCCCACCTCCGGGGTTCAGGCGACTCTCCTGCCTCAGCCACCCCGGAGTAGTTGGGATGCCTGGTTAATTTTTGTTTTTTAGTAGAGACGGAGTTTCTTCATGTTGGTCAGACTGGTCTCGAACCCCTGACCTCAAGTGATCCGCCCGCCTCAGGCTCCCAAAGTGCAGGAATTACAGGCGTGAGCCACCGCTCTGAGCCAGTAACACACAGGATGTTGCATTCTTTTACCTAGTGAAAAGACATTCAGATTCCTCGTGTGTTGTACACTCAGCCGCACATCTGTCGTCGGGCATGTGAATACATTTCCTTCGAAAATAGTTGATCTGGTTTCTTAGGTTTCATAAGGTTAGCAGTTGAAAATGTAGATTTACACATTCCTACTATTCTCAACATACTTCGGAGTCTTCCACGAGCTCAATTTTTTTTTTTTTTTTTTTTTTTTTTTTTTTTTTTTTGAGACAGTGTCTCGCTCACTCACCCAGGCTGAAGTGCAGTGGTGCAATCTCGATGCACTGCAACCTCCACCTACCGGGTTGAAGCGATTCTCCTGCCTGTCTCCTGAGTAGCTGGGATTACAGGCGTCCACCACCACAACCAGCTAATTTGTGTGTGTGTGTATTCTTAGTAGAGACAAGGTTTCACCATGTTGGCCAGGCTGGTCTTGAACTCCTGACCTCAAGTGATCCACCCACCTTGGCCTTCCAGAGTGCTGGGATTACAGGCGTGAGCCACTGTGCCCAGCCATATCTTTTTTTTTTTTTTAATTTAAATTTTACTTTGTTTAAAAATTAAATTTAAGAGTCTGGGCATGGAGGATTTCTTGAGGCCAGGAGTTCAAGATCAGCATGGGCAACATAAAAGAATAAGCCAGGTGTGTTAGTGCACACTTGTACTCTGCTACCCGTGAAACTGAGGCAGGAGGATCACTTGAACCCAGGATGTTTAGCCACTGCACTCCAGCCTGTGTGTCAGAGACCCTGTCTCTATTATTATTTTTTTTCTTTTTTTTTGACCTTGTCTCTAAAAATTAAAATTAAATTAAAAAAAAGAAAGTTCAGGGGGCCGGATGCAGTGGCTCACATCTGTAATCCCAGCACTTAGGGAGGCCGAGGCAGGTGGATCACAAGGTCAGGAGATTGAGGCCATCCTGGCCAACATGGTGAAACCCCATCTCTACTAAAAATAAAAAAATTAGCTTTGGGTGGTGGTGCATGCCTGTAGTTCCAGCTACTCGGGAGGCTGAGGCAGGAGAATTGCTTGAAACCGGAAAATGGAAGTTGCAGTGAGCCAGGATCATGCCACTGCATTCCAGTCTGGTGATAGAGTGAGACTGTCTCAAAAAAAAAAAAAAAAAAAAAAAAAAAACAGTTGTGTTGATTTGATAGCCACCGTTGGGTGCTCCTGAGCCCCTGTGTCAAGTGGCTACTGTATTACTGGACAGCGGAGATGTCGAGTAATAATCAAAACACATTTGATCAGGTCACTTCTCAGGATGAAAACGTTGTCTTCCAAACTCTCTATGCTTTGTCTCCTGTTAACCACCCAGCTCCAACTTAAACTCAGCCTAAGTAACCTTCTTGTTAAAAATCCAACAAGCCACCAGGCATGGAGGTTCACACCGGTAATCTCAGCACTTTGGGAGGCCAAGGTGGGCAAGGCGGGTGGATCACAAAGTCAGATGTTGGAGACCAACCTGGCCAACATGGTGAAACCCTGTCTTGAGTTTAAAAAAAAAAAAAAAAAAAAAAATTAGCTGGGTGTGGTGGCGTGTGCCTTTAATCCCAACTACTCAGGAGGCTGAGGCTGGAGAATCGCTTGAACCTGGGAGGCGGAGGTTGCAGTGAGCCGAGATTGCGTCACCGCACTCCAGCTGGGCGACAGAGGGAGGCTTTGTCTCAAAAAAAAAAAAAAAAAAAAAAAGATCCAACAAGCCACTCCCAGCACAAAGCTTCTGCCCAGAATGTCTTCTCCTGGACTCTTGGCATGGCTTATGCCTTCTTGTTATTCAAGTCTTGGTTCAGATGTCCTCTCCCTAGAGGGGCGTTTCTGAGGGTGCCCTGGACAGTGTTCACACTCATAGGCTGTAATCCTGAATAGCTCTGACCCAAGCCACTTGCATTTCTTCCCCAGACACCTCTGTGGGTTCACTAGGACTCACTATGCTAGGTATGTGTTTTCCTTTTCCTTTTGTTTTTAAGGAATCTAGTTCCTGTGGTATTTTTTTTTTTCCTGAGGTGGAGTTTCGCTCTTATTGCCCAGGCTGTAGTGCAATGGTGCGATTTCGGCTCACCACCACCTCTGCCTCCCAGGTTCAAGCAATCCTCCTGCCTCTACTACTCAAGCTACTCTCTCGAGTAGCTGGGATTACAGGCATGTGCCACCACTCCTGGCTAATTTGGTGTTTTTAATAGAGATGGGGTTTCTCCATGTTGGTCAGGCTAGTCTCAAACTCCTGCCCTCAGGTGATGGGCCCCCTTAGCCTCCCAAAGTACTGGAATCACAGGCGTGTGCCACCATGTCTGGCCCTTTTTTTTTTTTTTTTCTTTTTTTTTAAATAGAGTTTTGTTGCCCAGGCTGGAGTGCAAGTGGTGGCATGATTGCAGCTTATTGTAACCTCCCACCTCAGCCTCCTGAGTAGCTGGAACTACCAGTGCATGCCACCATGCCTGACTAACTTACTTTTTTTTTTTTGCGAGGGAGTCTTGCTCTGTCACCCAGGCTGGAGTGCAGTGCTTCGATCTTGGCTCACTGCAACCTCCCGCTCCTGGCTTCAAGTGATTCTCCCATCTCAGCCTCCCAAGTAGCTGGGACTACAGGCACATGCTACCTTGCCCAACTAATTTTTGTAGTTTTAGTAAACATGGATTTTGCCATGTTAGCCAGGCTGGTCTCAAACTCTTGACCTCAGGTGATCTGCTCACCTGGGTCTCCCAAAGTACTGGGATTACAGGTGTGAGCCACTGTGCCTGGCCTGTTTTACTTTTAAAATGTTTTGTAGAGACAGGGTCTTGCTGTTGCCCAGGCTGGTCTTGAACTCCTGGCCTCAAGCAGTCCTCCTGTTTTGGCCTTAAGTGCTGAGATTACAGCGCCTAACCCAGTTTTTTGGTATCTTCATCTCACATTAAGTTAAAAAAAAAGTTTTTTTTAAGTTAAAAAAATTGAAAGTTTTTAAAATTCTTTTGGAATTATTTGGCTTCAGGGAAACTCAGATTTATGATTCACTTGATTTCTTGGCAATCATTGCATACTTGGGGATATTTGTGATTTGAGAAAATCTAATTTCCAAATGTAATTCGATTGGTTATGAATACTAAATTTAATGATTAATGCAGTTGTCCTGATGTTACATTTTCCAGGTGCTTAAGTAAACATTTATTCATTTCAACTTTGTAGTTTTCTCTTGGCATTGTGGAACTTTTCTTCCCTTTATCCCTGTCCCTGACCTTTTCCTAGCCCCTGAGAAGCTCATGAGCCACAAGCATTATTTCCATGGTGCTAATGAAGAAAGTGGCCCTGGCTGTGATGCATTCTCTATACAGCTGGCTGAATGATCTTCACTTGTAAACCAGATCATGTCATTACTCTGCTTAAAACCTTCAAAGGCTTATCCCACTTAGAATGAAACCTAAGATCTTTCCTATGGCTTAGGAGGCCCTTGGTGGTGGCCTCAGCTGACCTCTCGGGCCTCGTCTACCATTCTTCCTCTTGTCACCACTCTCAAGCCCTGCTGGCTTTATTTCCCTTCTTTCAACACACCAGCTTATTCCTGCGGCAGGGCTTTGCACTGGCCGTTCCCTCTGCCTGGAATGTGCTTCCTCCAGATAATTGCATGGCTGTCTCATTCTCTACACTTGTAG